CGGGTACTATTCATGCGAGGATGAGTCATGGATCGGACACGGGGATCGGGCCGCTGCTTGGACGAATCAGAAGGCGACGCGTCAGCAGCTGGGTCTTCGGCTTGGACACGTGGCGCGATGACTCACCGAAATCAGCCTTATCCTTGCGAGATTTCTCGGAAATTGTGCCCCGACCTTCTAAAATCCGTAACTTTTGCACACGGGCTCCGTTTTTGCATATATGCACGCGTAGGTAAAATTACGCTCTATAACTTCCGTTTAGACTTCGTCGGCTAATTTTGAATTTAATGTTTATATTATTATTTTTAACAGACCGGGACAGGAAATCCGTTAAAAATTCATAACTTCTTCATCCGACGTCCGTTTTCGTCAGACTTTTTACCGTTGTGCTACTATTTACGAGACCTTCGATTCTCGTTTAGGTCGTGTCGGCTAAAAATCACTCGATCTAAAATTCGAGTTTTTAGCTGTCTACTGCTAAGCTGAAACTTCGAAAAATCATAACTTCCTCATACGAAGTCAGATTTGGGTGTTCTTTTTATACCTACTCTCGGTTTAACGAACACTACGAGTTTCGTTTAGATCGCTAAGGCTAAAAAGTAGTTTATCGAAAACTCAGTTTTTATGATATTCAGCACCGAGCCGGTTTTGTCGTGAAACTTCGATAGGTCATAACTTCTTCGTTATAACTCGGATTTCGCTATTCTTTATATATCTGTAATCCTTGTCACGACCACTACAACTTTCTTAATAGATATCGGCTTTATCTAAAATTTAATTTTGACGCTTATTTTTATTCTTAATTAATTAACTCCTAGTAATTAAGCATAAAACACATAAAACACATAGAATTCACATAATTCCTTTTTCATTTCTTCAAAATGAGTTACAAAGGTTAACCTAGACTATCACCTTAATATTAATGCCTAGGCTAGAAACACGAGTGTTACAACTAGGCGTACCAAGTGGTACGCTACGCGTACTGGTGATCGATGGTGTATGCCAAGCGTACAATGCGTACGCCGAGCGTATGCTTCTCAGTGGCCTTTTGGATATCGTTTTGGGCTTTGGTCATTTAGGCCTTAGTTAGGTGTTGGGCCTTGGCCTGTTTATAGTAGGTGGGTCTCAGAATTTATTAGTGGGCCTTAAGTTGCATGAGTTGGGCGTTATGGGCCGTGAGGTCATTATTTTGTTATTGGGCCAAGTTCGGGTAGGCCCGAAATGGGAGGGGTAAAATGGATTTCTATCCTAGGATTTGGGTTTGGGTTTTAGACCCACGGATATAGTTTATAACCTAATTTTGATTAGGGTTCTTTGTTTGTGATAGTATGGGATCTTCCAGTTCTGCAGCCGAGCATCTAGTTATTTATTCAGCAGCTTGAGGTGAGTTTTCTCACTATATCCATTGGTCGAAGACACCAATGCCAATCCATTACTTGTTATGTGGAATTCTAGTTGTCTCTGTGATGCTTGCATGAAAGACCTGGATCTGGCCCCTGGAAATTGTATGAAAGGACAAGATCTGGCCCCTGGCAGTTGTATGAAAGACCATGATATGACCCCTGGCACCTGTATGTAAGACCAAGATTTGGCCCTCAACACTTCAAGGAAAGACCATGGGGGTAGCCCATGACACTTGTATGTTTTGGTATGAGGTATTTTGGGGAACTCACTAAGCTTTGTGCCTATGGTTTATTGTTTATGGTTTCAGGGACTTTCGGTATGAAAGGGAAGGGTCTGACATGACTGCACTACCTCCACCCATGTTTCTGTAATGTGATGATTTTGGGATTGTACTCTGACGACTGTTTTATTATAAACTACTTTTGAATGTTTGAATAAAAGATAATTGGTGTTATGGTTGAATTAAAAATGAAAATTTTACCTCATAATTTTTTGGTCGTTACATGGTGGGTTTATTGAAGGTGCAGTGCTTTCACCGAAAGGCTTCAGAGTGGATGTAGGAGCCTGAGGAGGAGATGAGGGAGCATTATCCCAAGTTATTTTCGGTGATGGACTTCAAGAACGAAATCTGATTCTAGTGGGGGAGAATTGTAACATCCAGATCATGGAGGTACTTAATTTCTTGAATTTCAAACCTTTTGGAAGAGGGTCACGATGTGAGATATGGTGGTCACGTCGTGAGTGGCCACTGACTTGTTGACCCGCGTTTTCGAATCTGACGGCGTGAGGTATGAAGCCTCATGATGTGGGAACGACCTAATGACCAAAACCCTAATATTTTCGGGTATTTAATGGAATTAGAGAGCTAAGGTTGCCCATCCTCAGCCTCCCTCACTCTCTAGCCTCTTGAAAACCCTAATCTCGACTTGCTTGAGGTCCTTAGCCATTTTGGTAACCTTGAAGAACTTATTTGGTAGTCTTTGGCTCATTGAAGTAGAAGAAGACTTTTGTGGAGCATTCTCTTGGCAATCCAGTTTCTACTCACTTTCTTGCAGAGCTTTTGGACCTTTGTAAGTCATAAAGCTCTGGTCTTTTTACCTCTTGCATGCTAGATCTAGGTTTTAAGCTCCTTTTTCATGGTTGAGTTGGATAGCATATATGGGATCCATAAAGTTGGCAACTTTATGGATCATTGAGACAACTTTTTGTATTATAAGCTTTGGATCTGAGTTTTGGAGTTGGTTTTAGACTCTAAGTATGAGTCTTGATCTCATTTTTCTTTCTTTTGACCTAGTGAGTGTTTAAGTCATGCATTGGATATGCATGACTAAAAAGCTATGATTTTTATAATCCTTTGGGTGAGGGAAGACCCTCTGGAAAGTACCAAGTAGTGCCTTAAAGGAATAAGATCTTAATGCTCAAAGCTGGCCAGGCAACGCTCATAACGTGAGGATGAGCCTGTCCCGATGTGAGAATGCATGCCATCCGCGACTGTTTTGTTTGGTTTTGGTCACGACGTGACCCAGGAGTGGCCACAACGTGACGATGATTGGAATCAAGACTGGATGAGTTGATTGGCTGAGTTGACCCACTGAGTTGGGACCGGGTCGAGTTCATACTCACGACGTGGCTATGAGATGGCCACGATGTGAGGGTCAGCTGTTGAAGCTTGGACCGTTGACTTTAGGCCATTTTGGAACTTTTAGGCCTATATTGGGCCTTAGGGTTCTCTAGTTGGACTTGGGCCATTAGTGGGCCTAGTGTGGTCTTGGGCCAATATTGGGCCTTATAATTATGCGCTTAACCTTAGATAGTAACTAGGGTTGGTTTTGAGGAGCCATTGTGCAGGAGACTCGGGTGTGAGATTTTTCTATCTTCTGATCGAGGTGAGTCTTCTCCCAGTGTTTCGCGGGTCGATGGCACCAATGCCGACCCATGGATTATGGTTATTAGTTTGCTAGTTATCTGTGTGACTCTTGCATGTATTGTATGTGTTTGTATGTATACCGGGCGAGGCCCGATGCCAGGCAGGGCCTGATGGATATACCGGGCGGGGCCCGATGTATGTATGTATGCATAATATGTATGGGATGAGGTATTTTGCGGAACTCACTATGCTTTGTGCTTACGGTTTTTAGTTTATGTTTCAGGTACTTCCGTTTTGAAGGGGAAGAGCTCGGGATGATCGCATCACAGACACACCACGATTTCTCGGCTTTGTTGACTCTGATGTATTTTGGATGATTATTTATACACTATGACTTTTTATGGGTTTGACTATCACGTTTGGTTGATGTTTAATTAATATAAAAACCAAATTTTTGGTTATGGGTTTTTGGGATGTTATAGATATGGTGATGCATGATCTCCGGTGACTATGTTCTATATAATCCGACAACAACGAAGTTAACAAAAAGTGCGGTATTTTTTGAACATTTGAAAACTTCGTTACGCTTTTAAGTCATTTTTCCATTTACCTCAAGTACATGGTTACCACAAGGTTTTATTTTAACACGTGTATACTTCGTTGATATTATCTGTACAAATAATATACTTTAATGATATTTTTTATACTAAAAAAGCAATAATGGTATTTTTTGAACATTTTGGAAACCAGGTAACCTGATAGTTACCTACAATAGCAGGTGCAATGGTATTATGTGTACTAAAAAAAGAAAATGGTATTTTTTGTATATTTTTGGAACTTCGTTTCATTTTTAAGTGATTTTCCCTAATACTTATTAGTTTGGTGGTTTAATAAAGTATTTATTATAGGTTTAATGTATTGCATTTTTTCTATATTTTTGGAGAAAAAAAATCTGGATTTAAAAAGAAAAAAATAGTTTTTACGCATTTTGCTGATGGATTAGCAACGGAAATTTCGTGGTAAAATGTTAAATCCTCCGGTAAAATGGTCAAACAAGGTCAAACAAGGTCCTATTGACTTGGTCCATAACTAATTCTATTTCGGTTCCATCCCTGCCAAACGTGTGTTGAAGTACCTTTGTTCTGTAGTGTCCAGTTATGTTCCGTCTACCAAACGCACCCTAAGGGTCTACAAAGTTGACCAATATAATTATTAGAAATCAAGTCAGATGTTATTATCCATATTCAAAAGGTTCTCATATTCACTATATGGAATTGCAAAGAATGGATCAGCAATCGGTTATAAAAAAAAAAGATATACATTGTGACAATATTATTATTTAAATAAATATGAAAAAGAACATTAAAGCTTGTTATGCAAAAAACCTAAATTCCATGTGTATTTATTCAATTTAATCAGTTCAACCGGGTTTTAACGGTTCAATTTAACCGTTTCAACCAGATTTTTTGTAAAAACTGGTTGGTTCATTCTGGTCTAGAAATAAGGATAAAACCGATGCTAGTTAAACCACTCATTTTTTCGGTTTATGGTCAAACCAGTTCGAAGTGATTCTTAAAATATTGATTAAAACAACACAATTTCATGCAATATTAGAAGGATTTAGGTGCATCATTAATACATACTATACTCCTTGATTTGGTTATACAATTATCATCATTTTTTTATTTAATTGATTAGATAGAAATGTATATAATCTTGACAACTATTCGTCGTGAATCTTCTTGCAATGGACAACATACATTTAGTTGCATAGTTCTTAATATAGAAAAGTGGTAATCGATAAACGTACATCATATCATACCTACCTTATATTATCAATCTTCTTGCTAAATTGATATTTAAAGCCATTATTACAACCATGTACCCTTGTAAATTATTTTCATCACTTGTCTTCAAGAACATCCTCCAGGGCCAAATCCGATCCTTCCGGCAGTCAGATCATACACAACCTCCAATGTCTGTTGCTGCGTATTCCCAAATATACCCAGATCAGAATCATCCTGATTCGCAGTGAAAGCAAAGCAGTACACTTCATCGCTAACTGGAATAAGTATCCCTTGAGGTGGAATTTCAACGTTTACATTCCCACTCCAAACCACACTTATCTTGGGTATCGTGACATTTTCATAGTTGCTAAAATCATAGCATGTATCAAATAGACGCGGTCCTTGGGTCAAAGGGTATTGTGTCATTTCTGCTTGAAATGCCTCACTTAAAGCCGAGTAGGCTGTAGGTGGGAGCCTTGTGATGACAGTTCCCGAGTCTATGATCATGCCTGATGTCGTAAACACAGTCGGACTTATTTCTAGTTTGTTTCCTTTAACGTATATAGCGTCAAGATCAAGACCATAAAAAGTGTTCTCTTGTGAGGCAGAGAGTGGCGTGTAACTAATATTGCTACCAATTCCGCTACTTCCAAACGTTAAGAAACCAGTAGAGCTATCTACTGAGGGGAGACAATAGGAGAAGACTTTCCCATATTTGTTAGCGGACTGCAACACAATAGAGAACTTATCCCTACCAAGTCCTAAGAGCCCAGCAATACCTTCAAACAGTCCTTCGTTGTCTTGGCCACATCCAAAGAAGAAATCATCAATTACATCTTCCGAAGACAGTGTGAGCTTATCTTTTGCAAAAAATCCAATAGTGAAAGATCCGTCTCCATATCCGACACGGTAGACACATGTGGATGAGCTGCAACGGGCTGAATCTAGTTGTGCACACTCGGATGAACTGCAAGAGATGTTGGAATAGGTAGAAGATGAAGAAGGTACAAATATAGGATCTTGTTGGCTATAGCAGGACCCAGCACATGGTTGGCATTGTGTCCATGTTAGATCGCTTCCTGTGTCAAAAGAGAGTAAAAAGTCGTTCTTTGGGGTTCCCAGTCCGATAGTCACTATGTAGTTTAGGGTTCCGATTGATCTGCCGGATTTTGCAGGGAGAGTGGTCTTCGACCCTTGGATGTCTTTTCTCACTGTGTTGAGGATTGAGTCAACTCTTGACTGATCATGAGAGAAGATTTCGTCTATGGTCAAGGGTTTCACCATGTCTTTACTGAACTTGGAACATGGTCCATGTTTGTGAACCACTTCCAAAGACCCCCTTCTCTTCTCACCTAGTTCATGAATTTTGATCTTATTAATTCCGTGATTAATTATCAAATAGTTTATATTCACATTGCATATGCGGGGTAAAGCATTATAGTAAAATTTGTTTGATATGATTAGCATGAAGCTATTGAGTTAGGTAAAGTTGTGATACCTAGCTACATAGATTAGCACGTATGGTATTTTGTGATTCAATTTTGCTTAGTTTGTCTATGAATATGTGTAATAATTACTCATTAAAGACTGTTAGTTTTGCATAGTTAGCAATTTTAATGAAATTTATATTTCAAACATTTAATCTTTGGTTTATAACTTAAGTAATTTAGCAACAGCTTAGTCCGTTTGTTAATTTCGAGTGTTATAAATGAGATATTTTGTTAGCAATAACTAAAGATCTTTCCTATTATTGTAGCTTTTCCGTAGCTTTCTTCTACAAAACTCTTACCCTTTTCCAAAAACAAAAAAGTTAAAATATGTACTTACCATAGCGTCATATCATCAACACTTTCCCGCCAATGGTCTACCATTTGCATTTTTTTTAAAGGCAAGTCCAACATGTGCATTTGATGTAGTTTCCATATCGTGATAGAGATTTTCATTTTCTCTCTTATTGTATTAGTATACACTTATTTTTTTAATTGTTATTATGGTTTGGTAAATTTAAGTGCGAGAACTGAACTAGAAATAAATTATTAAAAAAAAAGTGTGATAGAATTAAAGGTTGAGTATTTTAATGAAAGACAAAAATAATTTTCAAGCAACATATAGGACGCATTTTTACCCAAAGTATGTTTTCTAGTTCATGGGTGCCTGAAATTACCATTCCAGTCCCCGAAAAATATTCACCCTTAAGATTACCATTGTACCATTATAATTCAAAATAATAAATTTCATAGTAGTCGTTAACTTTAACCAAATTTATAATTTTAAATATATTTACAAATTTTAACGTGACAGTTGTTTACTGCAAAAAAAGAAAAAAATAGAATTAGGTCAAAGGTTATTGTTCAATTCGTTAAGTAGGATTTTTTTGGCTTTAACTCATTAACACATGATGTACATATTAAATTAGACTATGAGAGTATGAGGTAATATAGTAAAATATAAGATAAGATATTAAACTAGACTATGAGAGTAAGAGGTAATATAACAATATAATACCCTATTGAATTGGTTTTTAATTGAAGCGGTGTATTTAAATAAAGCAAACATATTGCAAAAGAAAGTTCAAACCATGTTTTTGTTTAGTTCTAAGCCACTTGTTCAAGAAATTTAAATAAAATAAAATTTATCAAGGGTATCGTTACCACAAATTTGTCTTCGTCGGCTAATGCCAATGTCATATTCGCCATATACTTACGATATTTTAGCTAGTACCATTATGAGCCGTTCAAAAAAAAAAAAGCTAGTACCATTATGAAACCTAATTAACCATAAGTATTAAATTATATATTGACAAATTTAGTTGATCAACTGATATATAAAACGATTTACCCATTACTCGTGAATAAAGGAAACTCGATACACATGAAGAGCTTAGTGGACCGACTAAAAATAGATGATAACTAGTAAATTATATCTAGGAAGAGGAAAAGGTATCTAAGGAAAACTAACCATTAGTGGAAGGGCTACATATAGATGATGATACGAAAGAGCTTAATTTGAGTGCATGATAATGATGGGATATGGTTTCTATTTCATCTTCACTTCTTTCCAAAACATTTTCGCTTCTTGCAACAACCAAAGAGAAGAGAAAACAATATGAAAGCACCGATATGACACACGTAGATGGTTCCATTTCGTCTTTCTTAGTAATACTTCTCTTACTTCCTCACCAACTCTTATTTATAGCCATTATTAGAGGTGAAAAATTGTGTTTAGAGATGAGGTCGGTCCCAAGAAAGTTGAATGTCATACCCCACTACCTTAATATATGACGTAAAACACAAACCATAAGTATAACAAATAAAATATTTGAAATCAACAAAGTCTTGCTAATCTTTTTCTTTTTCCGTATTTGCGTATTATTTTTTATTTTTTTTTGGAAAGAATGAATTCTATATGAGCCAACAAAATGCTAGAAAAACGAAGATTTACAAAGAACTCGCCGATAAAGGGTGTTGTAAGCACGAAACCGAGTTGACTAAGTCTTCTGTTTCTAGAAACAAACCAATTGGAAGATTGGAAAACAAAATTATCAAAAGTAATATCTACAAAAATGATGAGCACAGAATACCAACGCAATCCGAAAACTCCAGTGCGTCCACATAGTCGTCATGAGAACCGGTGCATCCACATAGTCGTCATGAGAACCGCATCCAAAGCATTGCTTTTCGTCGAAACATGGCCAAAGTTTTAATCCAAATAAACAAATCTCTAACTGAGCAATCGAGTAATACATAATAAAACTTTTAGTCATTTCATCATAATAAATGAATAAATAATCAGTATCCGCAAGATGATTCGAACAAACATTACATACAATCCAACCCATTTTCACACCTTAGTTGTTCGGATTATATCTAGTAGGGTTTCTATACAAGATATGTATAATAATTTTCGTAAAGGTCTCATGGGTGATGGTTTTCTAAGAATTAGATCATTAGAGCATGTCATAATTATCAAAATAGTTAAACAATGTCATATATGAATTTCTTACATAACTTAAATGATGAAAATTTATACTACATTTTTCATGTATCCTTTTGAATGTTACAATACTTGTTGAATTCCATTGATGCTAAATCATCAATATCAACTTACCTAATCAAAAGTTATGTACAAAACATAAACCAAAAACATTTGAAATTGCATACTATTAATTTATAAACAAAAAGAAAACATACTTGAAATACACAACAAATTGAGTATGGTAGGATAGACGCATATAACAATATGCATTGTTATAAAAAACAATTCTAACATAGGTTCTGTATATAGGGTAGAACTATAAATCCATGGGAATCATGAATGTGTTGATTTGATTTTATGTCCACACGAAACTATCATTTATTGACATAATCATCTATGGAGTTAGTTTGAAATTTACAACTTACAATGAGGCTTTAGTGGAGTTTTAGCTTGTGGTACGTTTTCAATTGGTTTCTAATCGATTGGAACCTTAATTCTTAGCATTAACCAAATTTTATTCATGAATTAGATTGATATTTTTTTGTTTAGAATCATCAATAAAGCATGTATCATGATTGGTAGCTAATTGAATCTATCTACTTAATTGAATGTGAATTTTAGTTCACTTAATGGAGTTTAAGATTAATATTTATAAAATACCCGTCAATTTATTGGATTTAGTACTTAATCAAGTTATCAATTTCTTAATATGATCATGAATTAAGTAATATAAATCTAAATGCAAATCATGGGCAAAAACTCAAACTAGTGATCATTTTCAAGTTTTGAAGTATTAAAATGGAGTTTCCTAAACAATCACATTAATCCATGATTCAATGATGTTAATGATGATATAATAATTCTAAGTAATGAGTATTTAAGTTTATAATGTAGCTTAATCAATAAGCATCATAAAAAATGGAGTTGAGGTGTTAAAATCAGATTTAGCAAAGTACGTTGCTATTTTTGGCCAATTCCTATGATCTGCTATATCAAATGGGTTGTGTGTTTTCTTTGTAAAATGACACATGGTGTGTGATTGTATGAATCGAACCCTAAAGGAATTTTTAATGTGATCTTATGGCACCAAGAACACATTCAATCAATTATATTGTTGCTTTAGGGACAAGCAATCCATGTTAGGGGTTAGATTTAGTTAAATAAATTGATAATGTTGGTCCCAAAATCTGAAGACTTGTTTATGAAATTGATAACAAATTCAGAATAAAAGAATAGAACTCACATTATTCAACAAATAAAATCTTATTACCTTTGTAAGTTAAAGTTTAAGCACAATGATTCAGAAAGAGATTTTTCAATCCTCTCTCTTATTCCTCACTTAGAACTCTCATAAACTTACTCTATAGGAAGCTATTTATCTCTAAAAATATAACACAAATCACCACAATTATAACATATGAACAAAACTATTGTATATACTAGGCAAGCCAAAATAAACCACCATAAAGGTAGGAGACGAGTTTTTCAGGAGTGAATCTTTAGATGTACAAATCAAATAAAATCCATAAATTATAGGAATTGATATCTTTAATAAGAAAATTCAAATCTTAAAGATAATGACCAACTCTAGATAGGGCACCAGGTGATTGACACCAGATAGTTGATATCCATGACAAACTAGTGGACTGATAGGTCTTCAGCTAAGGCACTAAGCCAGTTGGCGGATGGAAAACATCCTTTATATATGATCATCTTTAGTCTTGATTATTGTTCAACAACTTCATATATAATATTCAAACTCTGTCATCTCTAGTATCTTACACTGTAAAATAAATAGCTCATGACACCAAACAGGACCAAGCTATTTGACAACTCAGCAAAAAGTATAGGTATGACACATTGTAGAAGTTTGGCATCATCAATCATCAGGCTTGACCCTAAAAATCTCCCATATTTGATGACAAAACTAAAACATTTACATGATTATAAAAATCAACTCACAAGATAACTCACTAGGCTTCTAAAACTGATGATGAAACAAATAACATATTTTCTCCCCTTAGCAGATGAACATCATTAGATTTTTGTGCAGTTTCTCCCTTTCATTTGTATAAGATTTATGAGGTTTGCTCCACGTCAGATGACCAAATTGTTATTTAACGTGTGCATGTTTCAATTGGATGAGCAACAAAAACATAACATAACTGATAACCATTTTCTCCCCTTTTAACAACAACAATAACTTCAGAAAGGTAAGATCTTGTTATTTTGTTTGTTTTTTTCTATTATAAATAAATGAATACATTGTTTGAAGAAGCAGATAATGTCTCATTTTCAAAAAAGAAATTTCATTTTTATGTAAGGATAAATCATTGTTTTTCAAAAAACCAAGTCAAATAACATAAGTATCAAAATACAATAATCTTAGAAACATCAGAGTATCACAACATGTGAAACCACAGAACTGCAGGTGGATGTGTACAATCAAGCATTCACCTTCCCGTGATCATCTGAAGTACTTGTGGCACAATATATCAACAAATGTAAGCATGAAGTTTAGTGAGTCTCCCCAAAATACCACATGCAACATATATAAGAACACATAGCTGAATCGGGTCCGTAGCAACCCTAGGTCTGTATCAACCCCGAGTCCATAATAACTCCGAGCCCAGATCGGCTCCATCGAGTCCGTAACAGCCCCAAGTTCGTAGTGACACCAAGCCCATATCAGCTCCATGCATACAACGTACAATCATACCAACAATAGTCATATAAACACATGCATAAATGCCACCTAGTGTCCCATTGTATAGTGAGAAGACTCACCTCGTATATAGTAGCTAAAACACAACAACTCTCACACGATGAAGACCAGTACCACAAAACACCTATTCATCAATAAGGAAGTACCAACTCAGTCTACACTCTATATCCCCCATATTCACTAAAAGTCAACCATGGTCAAAAAATTCAACGGTAAAAAGTCAACAGTTAAAGTCAACTTTGACAAATCTCCACGTTGTGGCCACTCATTAGCCATGTCGTGGGCACTCCAATACAAACAGTCAGCAATCAGTCGATGCCCACAGCGTGGCCACCATTGGCCATGTCGTGGCCACCATTGGCCATGCCGTGGCAACATCCAAACGAAATAGACTCATAAATACCAGTCGCCACGTCGTGGGCACTAGGCACCAACAACTTAGCAAATTAAGCTGTTATTCCTCAATCCCAATAGATCTAAAGTTCAGATCTGGATCCCTTCAAGGTCTTGATGGATAAAGTTTCCAACTTTATCCATTAAGACATCCTATTAAGATAATATCTCAATTTTCCACATTCTTAATGACAACACCAATGCATGGGTTCACTCAATAGGCCATGCAAGCCAAATTTCCAACCAACCCAAGGTATAGAAGCTAACAAATGCACTCAAGGGTTCTGGAGTGCACTCAAAATCCAAGAACAAGAAGATTTGGGACCAACAGCTCATAAAATGACCTAAAACTAGATCTAGAGAAATAATGAGCAAGGTAGAGACTTTATACCTCCAATGAGTCAGAAATGAGATGAAGATGACAGATCTAAGATGAAACCACACTCACAAGCAACATCAAGAGCTCCTTCTTCCTTCAACCTTCATAAGATTGGAGTTCAAGCACTCAAAACACAAATAGAGTCTGAGGTTTGGATGGGGTTCGTTTTCAGAGGGTAGAGGCTGCCAAATGAGGCAAACCTAGGAGTTAGTATCCTTAAATAGGACACCAACCCCAAGATTAGAGTTTTAAGCCCAAACAGCCACCACGCCATGCCAAACATTACGCCACGTCATGGCCAATCACGGATGTGTGTTTCTCGTCAATCGAGTGACATGTCGTGGCCAAGAAATATAAACAAAAATAAATAGCTAAAACTCATAAATGAATACCTGGAAATAGGTTGTTACAATTCTTCCCCACTTGAATTAGATTTCTCCCTCGAAATCCTCTGCAGTAAACAAAATCGGGGTAGTGGGTATACATTTCCTCCTTGGGTTCTCAAGTCAACTCAGAACCCTTATGATGCTTCCACTGCACCTTTATTAAGTCCACCACATTGTTAAGCAGGGTGTTCTTCTTGCTGTCAAGAATCAATATCGGTCGCTCGATATAATTCATACAGTCATCGACCTAAATATCATCCAAAAGTACTATCACTATATCGTCGGTCACGCACTTCCGCAACTG